GACCACAAAATTTCTGAGATTTGGTGAGAAAAAGCAATAATTGAAAATTTACCTGTTTCCTAACACTTAACCTAGGCAGCTCACAGATGCCTGTAGCTCCAGTTCCAGGGGGTCTAACCCCTCTCCTGGCCTCCATAGGCACCTGCACGCATGTGTTACACACACACACACACACACACACACACACACACACGAAGTGGACAAATATATCCATTCTTCTTGGGTCCTAATGCTTTCTGTGTCTGTGCTCCTGTTTACCAGTCCTGAGACTCCTCCGTTGGGGACTTCTCTTTGACCCTAAGTACCTTTCTGCTCCTTCATTTCCAGATCGGGTCTCCAGGCACAAAATGGGATCTGCTTTTCAAGTTTTCTTCCCAGCCTTAGCCTAGAGGCAGCTGTGTTAAACAAGAGGAAGAACCACATTCCTGACCATGCCCATCTGTGTGTGCCTCTTTGTGCTGAGTGATGTCTGTGCGTGCAGGAGCACATTATAGAGGGCAAAGGTCAACCTTCGGTGCTGTGTGCAGAAACTCTCTGCCTTGTTTTCTGGGACAGCATCTCACATACACCGTAGCACCCAGCTTTTATGTGTGTTCTGAGGGGTGGGACTCAGGTCCTCACAATCGCTTGGCAAGCACTTTCCTGGCTGTCTCTGCACCCCTTACTTCCATCTTTCTTAAATCTCAACTGTGTGCTAACTAACTGGACTTAGAGAAGAATCCGATCCAGAACTTAGCATCAGAGATCTCCAGTGTGGGACACCCAGGGTGTGAGCCAGCATAGGAGAGGGAGTGGGGGAAGAAGCCAAGGAAAGAAAGAGCTTCAATTCACACCTTTAACTGTGAGTTCTGGGCTAACCTAGTCTAGATAGAGTTCCAGGTTAGCCAAGAATACATATTGAGACCTTATCTCATAAAATGGACAGGGGAGCAGAAGAGCAAGTAAGGTTTGCTTGAGAAAACCTGCATGCTATTCTCCCCGTCAGTCTGGAAGCTTCTGAGGCTGCAGTAGAACAGGAAAAGCCCTGGTTCTCTACAGCCTTCTGTAAACTGTGTCTTTAGGGGTCAAGAGTAGCATGAATTAAAAGAACAAACAGAAAACAGTGGAATTGCTGGGCTCGCTGACACGTGCAATCCCAGTTGCTGGTGAGGCTGAAGCGGGCATCACGAGCTCCTGGCTTGCCTAGGCTGTTACAGAGTGAGTTCAAGTCCAGCCTATGTAATTTAGCAAGACCCTGTCTCAGAAAGAGAAAGTGACGAACAGGGCTGGGAGGGTAGGTCACTCAGTGGTAGAGCAGGACACGGGAAGCCCTGAATTAAACCCCAGCACAAACCACAGGCAGCAATTCACTCCACTTACTCCGCAGTAGGCTCTTAGCTCCACAATGTCTTCCTCTGGTCATTTATAAGCAGTGTCTTCATACCTATAATTTAGTTTCTTTTTATCTCTTCTGTGGCTGACTTACCAGGTGAGCTTCTCTTATCATGCCTGTTTTATCAAAGACTGCAGTTGCTAGAGAACTTTGTTTTTCAAAACAGTTTCCCTCCCTCTCTCCCTCCTTCCCTCCCTCCCCTTTCCCCGTGTGTGTGTGTGTGTGTGTGTGTGTGTGTGTGTGTGTGTGTGAGTGTGTGTGTATGTAGAGGTCAGAGGGCAAGGACAACCTGCAGCAGTTGTTTTCACCTTCCGCCCATGGGTTAGGGAGATCGAAGCCAGGCTGTCAGACTTGGTCGCAAGCACCTGTACCGTCTGTGCCAGCTCACCAGCCCCCTCCCCCTGTTTTCTGAGATTTAAAAATTACATTTATGTATGTGTGCCCTGGCATGAGGTCAGAGGACAACTTTCAGGAGTCATCACGTGGGGTTGAACTCAGGTAACAGGTTTGATGGCAATGCCCTTCTTTACCTGTTGAACTAGCTCACTGCCCCTCCCACTCTTTAAACCTAGCTGGTGTCTAGTTTCAGACCCCCTCCCCAAGCCTGTACTCTTTGCTGGGATTGTTACAGCTTTGTGAGCACAGCGCTCAACTAGGATGGTTAGTCTTATTGTTGTTGTTCAGTCTTGTTTTTAAGACCGAGTCTCATCTCACTGTAGTCCTGGATGCTCTGGAATTTGCTGTGTAGACCAGGCTGTCACAAACTCCTGAGCACTGGATTAAAGGCATTCGCCTTCCTGAACACAGAAAATTAGGCTTGGCTTTCAGTTGGATTAGAGATGAGCAAGAGCATCAGATTTTAGATTGAAATCAGGGAGACCGTGAACTTCCTCATTTCACACAGAAGAAGTAGCAGCCAGAGCGAAAGAGGCGTCTTAGCTGGCAAGAACATGGATTGCTCGGGCAGAGGATACAGGTTCCGTACTTAGCATCTATGTGGAGGCTCAGAACCATGGGTACTGGTACTCACATACACACATGCACGCATACACACACACTTTCTCTCACATACACACACATGCACACACACACATATGAATGAACAGAATTTTAAAACTAAAGTAAATCTTTAAGAAAAAAGAAAGAAAGAAAATAGCCAGGAGTAACAGCACACAGTTTAATCCCAGGACTCAGGAGGCAGAGGCAGGTGGATATCTACTGGTTTCAGACTGACCTGATTTGCATCATGAGACCCTGTCTCAAAAACAAAGAGAAATAACAGCTTCATTGTCTGTCAAGTTCTCTATGGATTTTGCTATATTTTTGCATAAATCTATCTTCCAAACATCGTTGCCTGTTTGTTTGGTGAGCAAATCACAGTCTTTATAAAATACTAGTCAGTCAGCACAAGCAGTCTTAGGTGCCCCCTGAGGGGCTCTGGATGTTGGTGTACTGTAGAGAGAGGAGATGCCCGGTGCGGGGTAGTCAGCAAGTTAAGAATGGCAATGAGGGGATGGTAGTGTAGGGGTGGGTGCATGTCTACCTCTATGGACATTTATTTCTGAATTACTCCATGGTAGTGTGGTAATGTGGTAGAATGTCCATGTCAGGCGGTGGCTCTAATAGTCCAGGTTATCTGGTGCCATGAAGTCAAACAGAGCAGGGTTCAGGTAGCAGTCTATGTGATCCTAGATGTTGTTCTAATATTCAGAGTCTCTGGGAGCCCATACTGGCTTTGAACTTGATATTTAGCCAGGATGACCTTGGACGCCCAGTCTTCCTGCCAAGTGCTAGAATTAAATGCATTCCTAACCACACTCAACTGGATTATTTCTTTATCTGTAGTAAAAAGAATAGTTGCCTTCTTGCTTTGAAGGATAATGAAGATTAAGCAGGACATTCTTCTTGACTTTTAGCACCAATCATAGCTCAGCAAACACTGTGTGTGTGTGTGTGTGTGTGTGTGTGTGTGTGTGTGTGTACGCGTGCGCGTATACATACACCAGAATGGTTGGGACTGTCACTGTGGCTGCTGCTGACTGAAGGATTCATGAGAACAGAATACATGGACTGAATCTCAGGTCATATCAGAAATCTTGACAAGATAAAGAGGTTCCCCAAAGTGGACAAAATCCAAGCATGGTGGCTGAGGCCTGAAAACCCAGCTTACTCAAGAGGGTGAGAAAGGTGGCTCACAAATCAAGTTCAAGTCTGAGCCACTTAGGGACCCTATCTCAAAAGAAAAAAAGCTACAGAGAGGAGGCAGGGGTGATGGTGCATACCTTTAATTCCAGGAGGTGGAGTTAGGCTTCTCTGTGAGTTCAAGGCCAGCCAGGGTCCCGCAGAGACCTATGTCAAACAGAAACAACTAAAGCAAAGGTAAAGAGACCATTAGACAGACAGCTCAATGATAGCATGCTTAAAGAATAGACCACAACCATTAAAGAAAGAAACATTGTTTCCAAGAGCCCATCTAGGAAGTTGTGAGCGGAAAAATAGAACCAAGGATTGTGAGGACGGGAAAGCCACCTGCCCACCTTATAGGCGGGCCAGTTGAGGCCTGGAGAGAATATAGTTTGTAAGTTGTAGGATAAACTCTGAATTATGGACAGGGCATATTACTCTGGGCTCAGAGAAAAGTTAAAGTGATTATTCCTGGGCATCTAACGGCTGAGCAGGCGGCTGGAAGGATGACCCGACTGAGGTTCCTGTGAATCCTCTCCCAGCGCTTGACTCTGGCGCCATTGCCGGTTGTGTTTGTTATGTAGCCCTTGCGACGCGCCTTTTACTTTACAGTGCATGGCTTTTGGGGTGTCCCATGTGAGCGTCCCTTTGTCTATCTCCTCTTCCTCAATGCCCATGTACAGGATTGGTAGGTGGATCTGTCTGTCTGTCTACCTCTCTATCTGAAGCTTGCGGAATTCCTATAGGTACTTTCCCACCAGCCTTTATGATTTCAAGCCACATCCTCTAGTTCTTAAATATGGTGTAGGAACTGGACAGAAATAATTTTAGCAAACAGATGGGTTTGGTGTTTTCTGAGAAGAGTATCTAAGAAGAGAGAACATGACTGTTCTCTAGAAAAAACATTTCACACCATGGTTGCCCCCACAGAGAGAGTACAGGAATACCTACCTAGTCTTCCTTCAGTGGGATGGCTGGTGTGCAGGCGGCAGGAGCTTGAGTGGTGGGGGCAGGGAGGTGGTGAGAGGCTGGTGGGGGTGAGTGTGCTCTGCCTGGTCACTGATCTCACAGGAGCAAAGCACTCAGGGCAGGGAGAAGAGCTTCAGAGGTTCCGGCTTAGGAAACTTGGCTGCTGCCCGTGCTAGTATTTGTCTTCATCCCCACAGCGGCGTCCTGAAAGGGAGGCTGCAGGCTGACTGGAGACCCTAGCCTGGCCTTTGAAAGGGTGCTCTTGCTCTTTCCTAAAGACCTTGAGGGCATCAGAATGCCTGTACCTTCAGTACACAAAGCAGCCCAGCCAGTCTGACCAGCTCAGGGAAACACCACCACGGCTGCCAACACCAATCACAGGGATTCTAGTTACTAATTATCTCCTGGCCTCTGAGGAGAAGATAGAGTAGCTCACTGATTGGATCCTGAAGTTGAAATGACTCCACTTCTTCCCGCACTCCGGCCACAGCAACAGGAAGACTACGGAGCTCTGGGAGACATTTTAAGGAGGACAGATACAGCCTTAGGCTATACCACACCTGTAGGCCAGTCAGCCCAGCCCAGGCCCATGGCACAGAGAAGTGAAACCTGTGTTCTCATTGAACATGAGTGAAGCTCCTGAGATTGGGAAGGAGAGAGGAGCAGAGCAGAGAGGGCCTTGGGGCTCCAACTGGGAGTATGAAGACTGCAGGAGCCTCCGGAAAAGGAGCCTTGCTGAGCCAAGCGGGCTCCATGCAGAAAATGACTTGGACTCTACCTGCCCAGCCAGGGCGCGGAATCGGCCCTACAGAAAAAGAGATTGTGGGTATTGGGATTTTGAGCAGAGTGAACCAAACTATATGGACTCTGGGGAAACAAATGGAAGAGGAAGGGATGGTCTCTTCCCAGAGGACTATGCTGGTTACAAGAATAGAGAAGACATAGACCGAGTGCATGTCAGGCCTGGGACAGAGGAGCGTTTGCTTCTGGGAAGCCCGCCTGGGATCCTGGAAGCTGCAGAATGCCGGACGGTGAATGGCTGTATAGAGTGTAAGGAACTGGCTTATAATCCTGAGGACACGCAAAAAGCCAAGCACAGGAACGGCTACAGGGACTTGGGTGACTCTCTGAGGAACTTCCACCAACCTCACAACTGGTACTGGGGCCTGGGGAATGGTAAAGGAATTAGCTTAGACTGTGGAGATCACCGCGCTTCACGTCATGTTCCTGGGCCTTATCCCAACGGGGAGTCTGTGGAGCCTCCAGACTGGAATGGGATCAGCGAAGGTGAAGAGTTTGTTAGATACTGTGAAGACGGTGGGAAGGTTTGCCAGAGCAGCGCGACCTACCCCAGAGCAAAGACTTGTCCCAGGGATCTAGCTAATTTTGATACAGAAAATAAAAGCGCTGATACTTTCTCTCCAAACCCTGAGCCTCATGATTATAGACAAGTCGATTCTCTGCACCCAGGGGAGGATTTGCCGTATTGTGACAGTGACAGACTGGGAATGAGGGCACCTGGTGGCCGAGGAGCCATCTCTGACCGTGTGCAGCAGCAGCCTGGGGGGGAGCAAGGAGAACCTCACTTTGGGGTTCCTGGGAGCCCCGTGTTAGAAAGCACCCGGCACTTAGAGGAGGCGAGAAGGCTGGCTGATTCCGATACCTGGAGACGGAACAGCCACTTCCGCCGCACGGCTCCCAGCACTCTGAGACGCTCAGAGTTCGTGCAGAGACGGAAGAGCTCCCAAGGTAGGAACCCAGCCAGACCTCTAGCCGTTAAAACGCGGCCTGAAAATGGGTGACGTGGATGGGTGTCATGAGATGTGCTGTATGTTTGGAACCTGACCCTCTGAGTTCTTATCAAGTGTGTTTGCATGTGACGCTTGGTTTGGGACATGTTCTCTTGGGGTATTTTGCTGAGCAAAGGTACAAATAGTATCACAAGTGATGTGCTTGTGGCCCTCAAACAAGACAGCCCTCTCGCAGAAGCTGTCCTTCGCTCTTTCCATCTTTACACTAAAGTTTTTGTCCTTGTGGGGACAGCACAAGTGGTATTGTGACACACTTCTCTCGGCCCCCAAACTTCTTTAGACTGTAGTGGAAGAGTTCAGTTTCATTGTAGGTTAGTTTCTCGTCTAACCGGCACAGGGAGCCCTAGAGCTCCCGTGGAGTCCAGGGCTGTCTGCGCTTTGCACCTAGTCTGTTAGGTGTAAACCATCTCTCTCTCTCTCTCTCTCCTCTACCCTCCTCTCTCTCTCCCTCCCTCCCTCTCCCTCCCNCTCTCTCTCTCTCTCTCTCTCTCTCTCTCTCTCTCTCTCTCTCTCTCACACACACACACACACACAACACACACACACACACACACCCGCAGCCTTCCCTCAGTGATCTTCCCTCAGAGTGGGAATGTCAGGAGTCCGCTCACAGGGACTCTTTCTGGCTTTGTGTCCTCAGTGTTCTGAAGGTCTTGTTTATATTTTGTGTTCTTCTCAGTCATGTTCTGACTTGTTTATGTTTTGTGTTCTGGCCAGTCATGGGGGATGGGGGTCCAGGTTATGACTAGAGGATAAGGGTTGGAACTGGAGAGAACGAATGATCTGGAAGACTCCCACCCTGCACACCCTTCCTCCAGGAGGGATCTTCCTCCCTTAGGGCTCCACAGGATGGCTGCCTGCTTAGGTTTGTAGCCATCAAAGACCAAAGAGATAAACTCCCTTTGTAACATGTCAATGTTTAAACCTATCTAGCATGGACCTGATGTAACTCAAAATTTCCAAACTACGGTTTGGACAAAGCTGGCTCCGTGTACCTGCACTCACGGAGATGAAAACAAGATCAACCCAGCTTCAGCTGGGAGACTGAGGAATTTAGCAACTAATCTTTCCTCTTGTCCTCCTGGGGATTCATTTTTCTCTCTGCAATGGATCGGGTGACGCTACAATTCCTTTGGGCTCAGAGAAGTCTGACTGTGATCTCTGAGTGGGTTTGGATATGGCTTCTCTTCCCTCCCCCACATCTCTTCCTGGGTGAACTTTGCTTCCTACCTGCGGTTCCTTATTGTTGGAAGCCTCCTAACTGTCGTCAAGGTGTTTATTCTGTTTGGTGTGTTGTAATGTGCCCTGTGATCTCTCTGTAACCAGCTCCAGTCCACCTTATCATTTGCGTTTTCACAACTCTCCATACTTGCTCCAGACCATGGGGTTCCTCAGGGAGCTGTGGGCATTCATTTTTATGCTCCTGACACCCCCTTTGACAGTCGTAAAATCTCATTCCCACCTGAAATCTCTAAGCTTCCTGCTGTGCTGGTAGCTGTCTCTGAGTACCAGTCATGGCCTTTACTGCGAGTTACCTAGCAACAGCATGCACTGTGGAGGAAAGCAAGTGTTCGAGTGGGTGTGCCTTGGGTTCAAATCTCAGCTCCAGTATCTACCAACTGTGTCATTGTAGGCAAATTATTCAACCTCTCAGAGCTTTAGATTTCCTATTGGCTAAGTCAAGATTTTTACCCATGGAGCTGGCTCAATGCTTAGTTAGGGCTCTTTGTTGCCCCTGCAGAGGGCTGAGGTTTAGTTCCCAGCACTCATATGGTGGCTCGCAGCCTTCTGTAACTCTATATCCAGACATCCGACACCCACTTCTGGCCTTTGTGGACATCAGGCACGCACATGGTCCACACATATACATGCAAGAAAAGCACACACACACATTTAAAAAATGTTTTTAAAAAGATATTACTCATGTGTTTGGAATAAATATATAAGTAAGTGCTTGTACACTACCATTTGTGTGTGTGTGTGTGTGTGTTTTCTCTACCCGACTCCCTTTCTCTTTACAAATTGCCCCACTAGACTGTCAACTCCAAGGTTCTCTGTGGCACAAACTTATAGTTACTGTTCCTTTGGACATTTGTAAACACTTCAACTTTAATGGGGAACATCCCTTCTTTTTCTTCCTTTCCCCTGTTACATTCGTCCATCCATCCATCCATCCATCCATCCATCCCTCCATCGACCCCATCCATCCATCTGTCCCATCCATCCATCCATACATCCATACATACATACATCCAAGAAACAGTAGCTTGTGGCTGCAGCCAGCCTCTCCCCAAGCCAGAAGCCAAGCCTTTCCCTAGCTTTCTTTCCTCTTTCCTTTCACTGACCTCACCAGATCCTTCTCCAAGTACTCTGTCTTGGGGCAGTTGGGACAAGTCTGTTAATAGTTTTGGACCTTGGCCCTAGGGTGTGGTCCACAGACCTAGGAGGCCCTTCCCTCCTGAAGTGTCAGGTTTCTGTGAACTAGAGGTGCTGAGTGAGTAAGCGAGCCTCCTCCGTGGGCTCTGATTTAGGTGTTTTCCAGCCGCCTCAGTTGCTGACTGTCTCAGGCTTCTTCACCTCCACTTGCTGTCTGCTCGTGGCTTCCTTGGCATCTGAAATGTGTAGTCTGTTGAAGGACCTGAGAGGATTTCTCCATAGATGTGCTCTTCTCCTCGGGGGCTCCCCTGCAGGACTTCCTCCCTTATATCTAACCCTTTCCTGGCCCGCAACTTGAACTCTGCCTTCTCAGTCTAGGCTGCCTACTTGCTGGCTACTTGTTGACTCTCTTCTCCTTGATTTCCTTACTTGTCAAGAGGCTAGAAATTGCCTCGGGGAACATGGGTAAATACAAATGTGGCCTAATTGCATTGTCTTGTTTTGAGTCATGTCCTCTTCAGTTTCTGCTGCTTTTGATTGTTTCGTAATGTCTACATATAATTATCGTCTTAATACCATGTCTGCAGTTGTTAATTAGTTATCAGTAGGAAGTTCAGCATGACAGAAGCCACCAGGTCAGCATCGTTAGGGTCTACACTTGCTAGGAATGTAAGTGGTTATGACAGGGATCCCCTGTTGCTTGTGCTGAATGAAAGTGGGGGTTACGAGCTAGAGATGAAGAATTCTTTTCCTTGGCTTTGGTTTTGGGTTTCTCTGTATAACAGCTCTGGCTGTCCTGGAACTCACTCTGTAGACCAGGCTGCCTCAAGCTCACAGAGATCCACCTGCCTCTGCCTCCTGGGAGATTAAAGGTTTAAACCATCACACTCGGCTTAAACATTTTTTTAGATTTGCCTTTATTATTTTGTGTGTATGAGTGTTCTTTGCCTTCGTGTGCATCTGTGCACCAAATTCATGTCTGGTGTGTGAGGAAGTGATAAGCCTCCACGTGGGTGCCAGGAGTCAAACCTGGCTTCTCTGCAGAAACAAGTGCCCTTAACCACTGAGCCAACTTTCCAGCCCTGCTTTCGTTGCTTCTTTATTGTTGTTTTGAGACTGACTCTCTCAGACTCTCAAGCTGGGTTGGCCCTAGAATTCAATGTATGGTCCAGACTCACACTAAACTCCAAGCACACTTCCTGCCTTAGCCTCCCTCCCCTCAACCCCGAATATGTGGTTACAGCTGTGAAATACTACATCTGGTTAAAATAAAAGTTAATTTAATGGTAAATTTTAAAAGTGTTTCAGCCAGGCAATGGTGGTACATGACTTTAAACCCAGCACTCAGGAGGCAGAGGCAGGTGAATCTCTGAGTTTGAAGCCAGCCTGGTCTACAGAGTGAGTTCCAGTATTGTCAGGGCTACACAGAGAAACCCTGTCTCAAAAACCAAAATAAAGGAAAAAAGAAAAATCTAGTATAATCAAAACCCATGTTTTATGATATTTTATGCATTTGTGAATATACATACATATATACATATATAAGCACATTTTATAAATGTATATATACACATACTGAATAAAATGTGGACAACAGTTTTGAAAAGTTTGAAAAGTGCTTAAATTCAAACTACTTAATTTTTGAGTGAGGAGAGCACACAGAAAAACTGACAAACGTCCAAGGCAATTAGACACGCCTAGACCAGGAGGGGATTGTGGTCCTACTGCCCAGACCAGCAATTTTGATACATTACCAGAGTGGAAGCCAGAAGACCTGGATCCTTTCTGCATAAGCAAACTTAGAAGAGAGGGAAGCACTAGGAAGTCAGAGTGGGCTGCAAACAGAGGGGCAGAACCCATGTCACACAACAGAGGGGACAGAAAGGATGTCGCTGGAGAGACCCATCTTTGACAGTAGGCAGGGAGGGCACTGAATGGCTGCGGCATGGCGTTTGTTACAGGGAGTGTTGAGCTTCTTTTCCTGTCCCTGGAATAAAATAAGCTGAGAAAACCAATTCAGGAAAGGAGGGTTATTTTAGATCACAGTTCAAGGTACGGAGCTGTTGACACAGGGAAGTCAAGGCATCTGGAACGTTAGCAGTAGACGGTCACATGGCATTGCATTGTGTCCTCATTCAGAAGAGGAGGGCGATGCATTCTAGCGCTCAGCTCACTTTCTCCATACCCTACTGTAGAATTCCCAGCTCAGGGAATGGTCCGCCCACAGTTAAGGTGGGTCTCCCCACAGCAATGGCTATAATTAAGATGCCCAGAGGCCTGGTCTCCCAGCATGGTATATGCCGTCAAGCTGATGATTAACCCTAATAACCATCACAGCCCCACCCCTTGTCAACTCAACACTCAAATATATCACTCCTTTTTAAAGGTTAATAATCTTTATAAATTTTTAATTTATTGTTGGGGTGACATGCGGAGGTCAGAGAACAGCTTTTTGGTTTTCTCCTGCCGTCTCTTTATGGAGCCTGGGGACCAGACTCGGGTTTCAGGCTTGTGTCACAGATGCCTTTACCCTCTGAGCCCTGAGCTCTTACACACGTCACTTTTGAGCCATGACTTTCCATCCCTTGCTCCCATAGTCTCAAGACCATGCTGTAGTATAAAATACATCCATCTTCTCTGTTTCCTGATTGCAGATGTGACATGCTAGCGGCTCTCAGCTCCCTCTGCCTGGATAGCCCCACCATGGGGTAGACCATTTCACAAGATATGCACTTAAGAGAACAAGTGGAAAGAATAGAAAGTAAGTCACTTAATATAAACCGAAGGAAGTATGGCTCACCAAGTGGTACAGGAAACAACCAGTAGCCAGGCGTGACCCCAGCGAAGCTTGCTAACAGTGGCACATGCTGGTCATCTCAGTCTTCTGAGCCAGGAGCAGAAAGGCCAGTGTGGGCACCTAGCAAGACTTTTCATGAGAGGGTTTGTTTAGCTGGACATAGCACTACAGCAAGAGGATAAGGCAGTCTCAGCAATTTAGTAAATTCAAGACCAGCCTAGGCTACATGAGATTTGGTCAAACAAAACAAAGAACAAACAAAAGCAAAATTAATGAAAGAAAAAGTTTTATTTACTGACCCAAAATTCTCTTTAAAAAAAGATTGTGTGTGTGTTTCAAAAAAGGATTTCTCTGTGTAGTCCTGGCTGTCTCCTGAAACTCACTCTGTAGACTAGGCTGGCCTCGAACCACTGGGATCTGCCTGCCAAGTACTGGGGTTAAAGGAGTGTACCACCACTGCCGGGCTTGTCTGTCTGTTTTATATGCATATGTGTGTGGGTTTGTGCTCATGAGCACAGAGTGTGTCTGATCCCTGGGAGCTAGGGTCTCAAGGAGCTGTGACCCACCAGAAGTGAGTGTTGGGAACTGAATTTGAGTTTGCTGAAGAGCAGTGTCTGCCCTCTCTCTTGATGGAGCCATCTCTCCACTCCCTCAAAATCCTCTTATTAAGCAGCAATAATATGTTGCAAACTAATTGTCTATCTTTGCCTTATTATTTCACTTCTACCTCAAGACTAAAAAGCGACAAACCGGTCTGAAGCTCCCGATGAAGCCCTTTGCCAGGATTTCTGTGTATCTGGTGCAAATTCAGAAATGGTGTCTCAGTTGCCCCTGCATTCTTTGGAGTAATGAATTGCAGACTTAAGGATTAGGCGTTGGATTCTGGTTAGGAACCTGGAAAAGGGGCCTGGAGAACAAAGTGGGGAGAGGGGAGTGGCTTCTAACTAGTTCTAAGAATCTAGCCCAGCAGGAATTCCTCCCAGATAAAGGCCAAAGCAGGCAATTCCTGAGTAAAGGTCAAGGGGGAAGTTTATCCTGATGCTGTTGGGATTTAAGGTCCTGAGATGAAATGGATTCGGCACTGAAGTTCAGCGATCTAAAACGTTTCCCATGGTCCCTGAAGAAAGCAATGAGCCCAGCGTGAGAGTCTGAAGAAGAAAGGACGCACTGCCTACAAACAGAAGTGAAGTGGGTGCTGGAGGGAAAGAATGGGGGCTGGGTGGGTGGGCAGGGGCCAGTGGCCTGGGAATAGGGAAAACCAGGATTTATGATTCCTCCCGGAGGGGGCGAGGCTGAGTGGATTCCGAGACCAACCGCTTCCTCTGGGGGCTTAAGCAGACTCACTACATCTATAACTGCATCTACACAGAAGTTAAGGAAGCCACCTTGGTGGCCGCCATGGCTTCCCTGCTGTCTTTCACTCTTACAAGGTGTCATTTCAGCAGTGTTTTATTGCCTGCTTTGTCATCAGTTTGAAGAGATTATTAGGTCAGGAAAGAGACCTCAGGCTGTTAAGGGAAGAGTTTGAGATAGACTTACAAAGTCATTAAAAGATGAATACTCTCATGGTGCAGCAAATACCCTTTTCCCACATTACTGTATGCTGGTGTGTGTGTGTATATATTAATGTTACACATACATCAAAAAGTCAGCAATTTCTATACTTTCAACATTTTCCAAATATGTGCATTTAAGATATCTTTTCCTGGGAGCTGGTTGGATGGCTCAATGGTTAAGAGCACAAAGGACTCCAGTTTGGTTCCCAGCACCCACACTGTGTGTTTTTGTTTATTTGTTTGGTTTTTTTTTTTTTTTTGAGTCTGATTTAATTTCTTTGGAGGCTGGAACTGATCTGTATTATTTTTTTTATTGATTTTTATTGAGTTCTACATTTTCTCTGCTCCCCTCCCTGCCTCTCCTCTCCTCACTTCAACCCTCCCCCAAGGCCGCCATGCTCCCA